CTACCCTTCCCGGTCGGCCCTCCTCACGATCGGTCCCTCTACTCGGCTACCTTTCGCGATCGGCCCTCCTCACGATCGGTCCCTCCACTCGGCTACCCTTTGCGGTCGGCCTTCCTCATGGTCGGTCCCTCCACTCGGCTACCCTTCGCAGTCGGCCCTCCTCATGATCGGTCCCCCCACTCGCAAGGTTTTGAAACCCGGACCGGACCGGCCGGTTCAACCGGTGACCGGATGGGGTTCCGGTCCGATTAGCCCTCTTAAATCGGTCAATTGCAAAAACTGGACTATTTATTGAAAACCGGTGAACCCACTGTCACGACCCAAACCCGGCCCTATGGGTTTAGCACCGTAAGCGGCCAGTAATCTGAGATTACCGAAGGCCTACTTAACAGTAGTACAGTAAAACAGAGTACAGGGCCTGGCGGAAGCCAATACAGTAAATAAATAATGTCCATTGAGCTGTGACAGTCTGTATGCCAAAAAGATTTTTCATGCATTCACATATACAAGCAGTACAGTCTATACAAAATTTACAGTTACACAGTACAGGGACCTAATCCCTTGGTAACAGTACAGTTAGCAGCTGACAGTCTATACAGTAGTCCAACAGTGTGGGGACAGACGGGGGAAAAACAAAACACCCCAAAGCCATAGCATGGCAACTCGGAACCTCGCAGTGAGGCACAAAGGCTGGCTTGACAAAACTGGAGTCTAACCCGCGCTCCTAGCTCCGATCTGGTGGCTGAGCACCTACATATATATATAAACAGTGAGCTAAAGCCCAGTGATATATTTTTATTTAAATATAATTTTAATATATTTATTACGTCACGGTTCAATTCCAGTTCAACCCGACAGTTGAACCGGTGACCCGTCCACCCGATCCTTTTTCCGGTTCGTTCACCGGTCCGATTTTTAAAATATTGCCCACTCGGTCACCCTTCGCGGTCGGCCCTCCTCACGGTCGGTCCCTCCACTCAGCCACTTCTGGTCGGTCGTTCCTTTCCCTCGACCTTCAACTCCCATCTTTCTCATTATTTCCTTCGTTGGACTAAAGCTGCACTTGGGAATGGGGGACTATTGACGTGGGTAGGCCCATAAAAGCCATAACCCACTATGAACAACCCAAGCCTACCACTTAGGGCCCAATACATAACCTAACTGATAAGGCCTAGCACCATCTGGAAGTCAACATGGCATGAAGGATCAATGATATTCAGACACGTGGCAGGTAAAGGGCAAGCCACATCAGCAGACAAAGATCTGCAAAGTTATTACCCCTGCACATCGCCATTAATGCAGCCCCTCACTGCATTTATTATGACAACACCTCTCCATTGGGACAGCATGCCCTTACCCTGAACAAGGTAAGCTACAGCATAGACTTTTGGCCAAGGTGACAGGTCGGAAGGGACAACGAAATGATTACCAAAGGATATAAGCAAACGTTGAAGATAAGAAGAAGGTTAAGCTTTTCTATCTCTAACCTATCTGCATATTCTACTCTCTCTCTCTCTAACTTGCTCGTCGGAGGGTTCGCTGAGAGACTTCCCGTTCCCCGTTGAACTCTTGTGCAGGTTCTCTAGTGGGCTTGGCCATTCGAACATCAGGGTTGAGGAGCGTGAATCAGTCCAACTTGTCCTACCATCAAAAACTGCATCATCAATTGTGGTCCTATGGCAAACTTAGTGATACCATTATCTCATATCACTTAATATTTATTTATCTTTTCTATCATTAGTGCAACTAATACAGTTATAGTATATTGATTTTGAAGTCACAACTAAATATATAAAAAAAAAAATCAGAACAAACAAGGCTCAAGTTTTTTTTTTATTATTTTTGTTTTCTTCAATGAATTATTACCTAATATTAATCCATGTTATGCAGCCAACCAAACAAATGCTGCAGGACTATTTATGCACAAGGGATGGCACTAATTAGGCTCAAACCAAACCAAACAAGGCTCTCTACAAAAAGTCAGAAAAAGACCAAATCCACCGTCCGCTGTGGGGGCAGCAGCGCTTACGCTACCGGTTACGGGCAGCAGTTCATCTTACTTACATTATTGGTTTGGTACATATTAATAATTGACTACGGCGCCGTTTAGAAAATTATTTGTAGTCAAAAAGTCTTTTTTTTTTTTACTCTTTTTTATATCTTTATGTAAAAATATAGAGAAAATAATAAATAAAATAGCTAATTTCTAAAAAAGGTTTAAGAACTCGTTAGAAAATTAATTATTTTTAAACTTTTTATAAAAAAAATATATAAAAAAATAATAAATAAAAATATAATAACTTATAATAATTTTTTAATTTTTTTAACTAATACTCAGTTGCCTATCAAGGTCTAAACAAACAATCCACTCAATGTAAAATAAATATTAGATATAACAGTAATACATATCACGTGAACAATATCACCATTCAATAAATATTGTTAAATTGTGATAGAAATCACAATAATAAGTATATTTTTTGATTTTTTATAAAAAAAAAATATGTAGAAAAATAAAGAAAGTAGGTAGAAAAGTAGAGAGGAGATGTTAAAAAATATTGATTGATGTGACCTAAATAAGTGTATATATGCAAAAAAAATACATTTTTTTAATACATGTCAAACACCTACTAATTAGTGAAAAATAAGAGTTAATCAATTAATTCGTTTAGGACTTTTTATTCACGGTTACACTCAGTCTTATTTTGGGAAGATGGTAAAAAATGACTTTTTAGCTTTTAACCAAGCTTTTGATGTTAAAAAATATTGATTGATGTGACCTAAATAATTATATATATGCAAAAAAAATATATTTTTTTAATACATGTCAAACACCTACTAATTAGTGAAAAATAAGAGTTAATCAATTAATTCGTTTAGGACTTTTTATTCACGGTTACACTCAGTCTTATTTTGGGAAGATGGTAAAAAATGACTTTTTAGCTTTTAACCAAGCTTTTGGCTTTTTTAGACAAATGATTTGGAAAGTTGATAAAAAGTTACTTTTGACTTTTTTTATTAATATTTGTTTATGACTTTTTTAAATCACAATAAAATGACCAAACTACCCTATTTATTTAAAATATTTATAACTTCACCCATATAATACATTTTGACCCATGAGGAATAGAATTGTAATTTCACCATGGGCTAAAAACCAACTTCCCAAATGAAAAAAAAAAAAGTCAAAAAAGTCAACTTTTGGCTTTTGCTACTAACCTAAAAAAGTGACTAAAAATCATGTTGCCAAAACACCCCAATATTTCTTCCCGTAGACTACTCATTTCCCATTACGATTAATATTACGAAAAATTCTTGGGTGCACATAGGGTATCGTGTGACATGTCACATGTACCTTCAACCAATCACAAACACCATAGTCAATCTCACAAACACCATCACCCAACACATAAAGGTAGTCCTCAAACTCTCAACAAATGAGAGAAAAAAAAGATACCACATAACACCTACCTTATCTGCATTCAAAAATTTCTCATTATTACCATTTTTTTTTCACGGTTGACAAACCGTCAGTCACCCACCATACACGTTACCCTCGTCGTCTTCCAATCTGGGTCCGATGTCGGGTTTCAACTTTTTCAAGTACTCACAATTTGCCGACACAACACAATTTTATTTGGTATAATTTTTTACAAATTAAAAATTTAGATTGAGAAAGAAGAAACAAAAAAAAGTGTTTGAAATGCAGTTCAAAAAATTATTTTTTAGTTAAATAGGTTTTAAAATAAATTTCCTCATCAGTTAAAAAAATTTAAAAACAAATCAATTTTTTCTCTCTTTTTGTAAACAACTTTTCAAATACATTAATAATCGACTCCGATTCGTAGCTCGAATTCGGAGGCTCGAATTTGGCTCGAATTCGGAGAAGAAGAAGAAGGAGGAGGAAGAAGGAGAACTGGAGGGGAGAGGGCCATCAAAATCGGGCTGGAGGAGGCGGGGTCGGAGGCAGGGCTGTGCGGGGCTGTGACGATCGGAGCTGTTGCTGCGACGATCGGAGCTGTTGCAACGATCAGAGATGCTGCGACGATCGGCGGCGGCAGAAGCACAGGAGGGGCCCTTCTCTCCTCTCCTCCCTCTTTCTCCCTCTCTCCTCCTCTCCCCCTATGTTCTTCTCCTGTGTTCAACGAAGAAGAAGAAGAAGAAAAGAAAAAAAGAAAAGGAAGAAAAAGAAAAAAATATCGTTTTGCGATTCGAGCCAAAATCGGGCAACTTTTTTCGAGCTACCAGTCATTTTCCCATTAATAATAGTGTTTAGTTTTTACAAATTATGTTTAAATTTTTTATGTTTCGTATTTGTTTGTAGTGAAATTTTTTCATATTTTTAATCACTTTTTTTCCTCTTTTATTTGTTAAAAACAATATATATAATAATGTACTAAAATACAACAAATATGAAAATATGATTTCTTATATTTTTCATATATTTTTTTTTGTATTTAATTATTTAAAACTAATTCTTCACAAATATATAATTTTTTAAGTGTTTCTAGAGTAACTAAATTTAAAAAGTGAAAATAATGAATTAAAACAAAAAACAAAAAACTCAAAATACAATTTTCTAAATCAATGTGATTAGTTTTTTAAACTTCTAAAAAAAACAAAAAGACGCTTCTCCTAAAAAGTACTTCCCTCCTAATACCTGAACAATTAACTTTTTTTAAAACTCATTTAAAATAAAATTTTCTAATAAAAAAAAATTAAAAATTTACACAATCTTAAAATTAAAAACCTATCAACAGCAACAACCCAACCCACACGCGTGACGCCCATGACGAGATTTTTGTAGTCGAGTGACGTTCAACTGCGTTTTAAGATACTATTGTGAGTAAAAAGTTTAAGATTTGAATTGGTAGATCAATTCAATAGTGACTTCTTTTAAGTTATAATTTTAACTTTACTAACCTATCTATAAATGAATGAAAAAAAGAAAAATAAACAAACCAACACGCCCATTTCTCACCAAAACTTTCCACACTTTTTAGCTCATCAATAATAATAGTCAGAAAAAAAGCCACCTCCAACTTTCTCCGCAACAACGTCACCTAAAATCACTTCCCCACCCCTCCCAATTCCTTGTCCACTTTCCCAAACTAACCCCTATCCTCCAATATAACTCCGTGAAATGTGGAGGGCATTTTAGTCAAATCAGTTATCAATCAGATTAAGACAGGCAAGGTCCACCAACCCATCCGGCAGCAAAGAAACATCATCAGTCCGGTGACGGATTTCCCGGAACTAACCAATCAAATCCCAACACGTGTCCTGGTCAAACTCTCCATTTTCTTCCACGTGTCCCCACCTCACCGACGCCGTCAAATCTTTCCCCCCCCCTCTCTCTCTCTCTGTTTTTCCGTCAACGGAAACAACAAAAAAGTTTTTAATCCCAAAAACGACGTCGAAACACTCCTCCGTCAATATATTCCGCCGGTCAACCCAAAAACCCTAACCCTACCTTCTCTCTCTCTCTCCTCTTCCCTTTCTCTCTCTACTCTCTCTCTCTCTAGCCGGCGATCAGATCGGATCAGATCGGAGTTGTTTTCCATGGAAGACGACGAAGAAATCCAGTCACAACCCTCGCCCGACACCGGATCTCCGGCCTCGCCAGGTACGAACGGTAGAATCACGGTCACCGTCGCCGCCGCGCCGCCGCAGAACACCCTGACCTTGGCCCTCCCCATCCAGCAGCCGAGGTCTGCCGGAAGCGGCGGCGGAGGAGGAAGAGAAGATTGCTGGAGCGAAGGAGCGACATCGGTGCTAATCGAGGCATGGGGAGAACGATACATGGAGCTGAGTAGAGGGAATCTGAAGCAGAAGCATTGGAAAGAAGTGGCTGATATAGTCAGTAGCCGAGAAGATTACGGAAAAACGCCTAAAACCGATATTCAGTGCAAGAATCGGATCGATACGGTCAAGAAGAAATACAAGGTTGAGAAATCGAAGATCGCCGGCGGTGGTGGACCTAGCAAGTGGCCTTTTTTCGAACGACTCGACCAATTGATCGGTCCTACTGCGAAGATCGCATCTGGTACATCGACGACTCCGAATCATCTTCTTACACCTGGAGCCCCTCACAAAGTCCCTGTAGGAATTCCTGTTGGCGTTCGATCAGTTCACGAATTCAAACAACATCAACAAAATCAACAACAGCAAAAACTGAAGCAGAAGCAGCAGAATCAGAAGCAGAAACAGAAACAGGCGTTTCGTAAACAAGCTCCGGTCGATTCCGACTCGTCTAGGTCGGAACCAGACCCTCCATCTCCGGACTCAACTGATAGTTTTCCTCCGGAGCCGTATAGGCCGAAGAGGCCTAGGGTTCAGAGAGACATGAATTCGAATGCGAATGCGAATGCGAATGCGATGGTGGTTCGTCCGGTGATGATGAATCAGGGGACTAGGGATGGAGTAGGAGGAGGAGGAGGTAGAGGTGGGGGGAGAGATAAGAATTGGGGGAATTCGGTGAGGGAGTTGACTCGGGCGATTCTGAAGTTCGGGGAAGCGTACGAGCAAGCGGAGAGCTCGAAGCTGCAACAGGTGGTGGAGATGGAGAAGCAGAGAATGAAGTTTGCAAAAGAGCTTGAATTGCAAAGAATGCAGTTTTTCATGAAGACACAATTGGAGCTTTCGCAGCTGAAGAATAGGAGGGTTGGGAGTAGCAATCATCACAGCAATAACAATAACAACAATAATAATAATAATAACAATAATAATAGTGATAGTAGTAGTTAGATTTATGGGTGAAAGACCCGGTTTGATCGGTTTATGAGAGAAATTTGTATCTGAATTGTAGTCTTGAATGTTTATTTTTTGCTTTTGTTGATTTTCATGTCAAATTTAACTTTGTCAAATGTTCCAAGACATGTATTTATTTAATGCAGAACTTTGAAGTTTGATTATTGCAGTAAGAAAAACACTCTCGGCATTTGAACTGGGTTCAAAGCTGATGATCTAGCTGTTCTTTTCTACCAGTGTTGATCATTCAATAGCTTTTCAATGTCGTATCTGCAAGTAAAAAACTTCTGGCTACTCTGGGTTTTCATGAACTTCCTAGTGTTCTCTACCCGTAGCTGATCTATCTTTTGGGATAGGGTTCGGTGCTTTCTGTTGGGATGTTAATCGTGTTCATAAACGATTTACACGCTGCAAAACTGCTTCATAAATGGGCATGGATGTTGTAAAGATGCTGGTGAGTGGTAACTCGAGCTGTTCATTCCATAACCGAACAAGCATAGAGCATCAAGTACAAAGCAAGCGAAGAAAGTAATAAGAAAGAATATCATATTTGACATGAGATTGCATATGAATTACTGAGAATTGAAGATTGTTCGCAACAGTAGGGTATAATCACTTGAAGTTAACCAATTCAGAAACACATTCTTTAGACTTGGAACAAATCTTTCATTTTGTTCCAAGCTAGAGAATGGTGTAAAAATCATAAATTCCACCACTTCAAGGAAAATCAAACATGAAAATTAGTGGTTGCACCAATTGATTGCTCACCATGGTGCATTATTCAAAACAGAATCAGCAAGATTCACACCAACATCATGTAACTTAAAGATTAATCCAACTCATTCATGTAGAGTTGAAAGGATTTAAGCTCCTTAGCCAACTAAACATGTATATTTGGTTTTCTTTCCCTTTCATTGAAGAGTTCCATAACAAAATGGTCAAAATCGGATTAAGAAAACTTGCCAAATGTTAAAAAAAAAAACGTAATAATTGCACGTCTTTAACAGGTTTCAACTTTTGATGGCGTTCACTTAAGTGAAAAACTATTAATGACTGAATGCACATAAGGTCTAAAGAAAATTGAAATTCAGGATAGGATGAAATGAACATTTGAGCTAGGAAATTGACACTGGAAATATAAAGAAATGATGTGAAGATAGCAATGTTTTTGTGGTGTCAATCAAGGAATAAACATTCAAGATAGAGAATTATTAAATAAATGAAAAATAAAAATAACAAAAATAAAGCTCACAACTTTTTTGACACATGGTGTAGCTGGCCATATGAAATTATTGAAGATTTCTCAAGTTTCAAGTTTTCAGTGATGTAAAACATATCACTTGATACCATCAGCGTTACATGATTGAAGATGATATATCACATAAGTCAAAATTCACATTCTCCCACGAAAATTTTCTTACAAAATACTACAATAGACATGAATTCAGACCCTTGCATAACTACTAGGAATTCTACATTCAGAGCAACATAATAAGGTGCTATCTGATGCATAAACTGAAGCAACCTTGTATACAAAAATCTTTCATTTGCATATTTGGGAGGGATGAGTAATAAATTAAATTAAACATTGAAAACCATCTGCACTTTAAAGAGCATTGATCAATAAGCACAAATTATCCGTACTTGTAAAGGCAGAAACAGTACCCATTGTTAACAAAAAGGAGTTCAAAAACTCAAGTGCACGCTGAGCAGCAAAAAAGATCTGCAGGCACTCCACTCTACTCTAAACTGAGATAATGGGTATATATATGTAAAGAATGCAATATGAAACTTTAAAAATGCAAATTCTAGCAGAATTCATTAGATTTTCCTTTTGGTACCAAGAGTCCAAGAACCTTAGAGATGCGACTAGTACATCAACCCAAATTACCCTATCATGTTATGGAAAATAAGATAAATTTCTAATAAGAGTTGATTTTGGCAAAACAGAATATTAGCAATACTTGAGTGGAACATCTCTTGGCCCTCAGAGGCTGTTCTTGAGTGCACTTTAAATTGCACAGCATTTGTTGGACTAGCATACATTTGATTCATAATTAGGACTGGGGTAAAATGGAACTATTGGTAATGGAGACTAGTAGGTATCATATTAAAAAACCATTCAATCAATAAACAAATAACCAACTATGCATAGCCAAAACCTTATGGTATGGGAAACAGTTGAAGGAAAATGTGTATGACCATGAACGTAAAAGGTCCAGAATCAAGTTTGCTCTCGAGCAAAGACAAAAGTAATGGAATGATTGTGCCAACTCTGCCGTGCATATTTTCGGTTTTAAACTTTAGATGAAAGATACAAAACACTTTTGTCTTACTTTCCAACATCTTACATTCAACTGATATCTATCTCCACATACATGTACATTGGATGTTTCTGCAATTAAATTATCAAAAGATACAAGTTTTCTGCAAAGCATTCCACGAACAAAGGCCACAACATGGAAAATCCAAAGAGATGAAGGAAATTTGTGAAGTGTAAAAAGAAAATGCAATCAGCAATTTGAGAGCACAAAATAAGATACACAGTAACACCTCTAACAATGTACAATTATCCAGAATATTTAATAGCTGAGCAATAGACACAAATCAACCAACACATGAACTCTAAGCAAATACAAAAGGCAATTCCTTGACGGCTCATAAAGTGTCCGATTTTGTCATAAATTATATATAGAAACCTTAACACATTAAAAAAAGAATTGATAGTCTCACAATCAGAAATTAGAAACATAATGCAGCAAAGAAATGGAAGTCCCACCAATATTATGCATACCACATAAACTAAACACAGGACAAATCCAGTTAGGGTTTGTAGGAGCCCAAAATCCAAATCCAAGTTAAAAGTGCCTAAAATCATTTACGGAAGTGAGAAATTCCATGGAGTATTAATAACCAAACCAAACTAACTCTTAAGTCCCATCAAATTGGCTTCCATGGAGTATTAATCATCTTTTAAAAACAAATCATGTCATTTCATTTTAATGGAACACCCTAAGCTTAATGGTTTGCATCTAAATCAGTTAAATTTGTAATTTGGTTTGAAAATTTTTATTACTGTTTGAAACAATAAAACTTCCTTCTTGGCACACGCGCAGTGTCCTTAACTTGAAATTATTATGATGGAAGATTTTTTTTCTCTTTTATTTGGATAATAAAATTGTTTTATCATGGATTAGCATAAAATGGTTCGACAGAAACTCATTATTGAGGAAAAGTGTTGAGATGATCTAATATTCAAGTCCCAAACACACTCCAGTTAACTAGTTTGCGTCCTAAGTTTGGCAATTCAAAAATAATCCATCTTTTTATCTTTTTTCTATCACATCACATCTTTACTTTTCTGTACATCTTTTCGTAAAAAAACAAAAAGTATACTTATTTAGGTCATCTCAAACAACCCAAGATTGGTTGATTTATTGATGACACCTAAAAGACGACTACTTTAGGTGAACATCCCCAATAATTTGACGGACACAAAATATGAGTTGATTATCTTTCAAAATATGGTGATCACAATTTTAGACATTAGAATTGCTTTGCACCACAAGGCGATAACAGTTTAAATCCTTTATGTCACCAAAAGTTTACTAGGGAAAAATATCGAGCAGCTACAAAGAACCGGTTTTTAACCTACACAAATCCCAACAATTAACATCTAATAAACCTGCAAAGCTGATTTCATAACTATAAACATCTACTCTTTTGAATTGTTATGTGATCAAAATTCTAATTGCATCACCTTACTTTGTGAAAAAATACCATAAAGATAATATGCAATAACAAAAATTCAACAATCCAACAAAAATTAAAAATTTGGACATCAAAGATTTGTCCATATAAAAGGTCGTGACCCAGCACGATGGCAAGTGTTATCCGTCCCAAGTATTGTTATTATGGTGTGGGTTCGAGTGTCGGGAATCAACCTCTCCACACTGTCGAAAAAAAGTACAGCTGCCTAGTTATCTCTCCTAGACGCTACTACAAGTAGGAGTGAAAAAGAAAGTGATGCAAGTTTGAGGGTCCAAAAGTAGAATTCCAACAAAAACGGCGTTGTCTGAAAAGTTAGTTTGCCTGTGTTTGGCAAGTGGGTTTGCAGGTTTTTTTGGCTATTTTAGCCACAAAAAACAAAATAGGCTATTTTAGCCATAACAAACAAAACATCACATCCAACCCATAATCATTACATTCTTCTCTCACAAAAAAACTCAAAAAAGCCAAAAAACCATTCCCAAACCAAGTTTTTAAGCTCAGGCTAAAATAGTCAAAAAAGCCAAAAAGCCAACCCACTTCCCAAACCAAGCCTTTTTAGGTTTTTTTTGTTTTTTTTCACTAAAAGACAAATTGATTACAAAACTAAAAAAACAAATCTAAACAAAATATCACATCAAATCTCATAATCATTTCACTTTTTCTCTCACAAACATCACATCCAACCACAAAAAAACTCAACTATCTTCCCAAATAAAAAGAATTTTCTCCAATAATATCTTATAATTAAAAAAACTTACAAAAAAACTCACTTCCCAACCAACCACTAATCCAACTTATATAATCCAAAACTCCATTTGTTCGCACAAGATTCAGATCTTTTGATTGATTGGATGTTTCTGTACCATACTTTAGAACTTGTTCAAGGTATAATAAAGTTTGTGACTAGATTTTTTTTGTCGGCATTGCTCAATTTGATGGTAGAGAGGGAACAAATTCAACCCAACCATGATAAAGTATCATTATGAGAGGGTGAACAAGTCAAATGTGGTCTAGCTAGACTATATGAAATGGGGAAAACTTTAAACCTTCTTTTTTGACACTTTACATTTTAATAACTTGAAAGAAGCAGATTTAGGTCCAACCCAAGCATCATAACTTGCAAGTTTTCAGGGAAAGCAACCCACAACCAGAAAAGCCCCAAAAACACAGAAATCGCAGAGAATCAACAAAAACTTGAAGCCAAAATTCAAGGCAACAATGCAGGAGCAGAGTTGAAAGTGAAAAATAGAACTAAACAGTGAATCCAGTAAATTGAAAAGTAGAACTAAACAGTAAAACCTGAAATTCGAGTGGTTATTGGGTGCTCTTGGAGTATAGGTGCTCCAAAGTATTATGATTGGTGAAAAATGTAGGACTCATAATTTTGTCTTGGGTGAT